TTAGAGCTCTGAAGGGACAATCTCACCTCTTCACCTCTGAAGGGACAGTCTCACCCTGTGGGTTCTAAAGGAATTGAGCAATAGACATTGGACTCAGGAAAGATCACAACATCAGCCTTGTGCCTGGTGCTAGGGAAGGGAAAAAATTTCCCTCTACCCTTTTTACGTTCTTCTGGCTAGTCTAATAATTAAATTGACATGAGACAGATTAACAGGAGAAAACCAAATTTAATTACGTATGAATGGAGGTCCCATAAGAAAAATTGAGGCAGGAGATAGATGGGCTCCAGGCTAGGCATTTAAAACTGGCCTCCTGTTTGCACTTCTTGGGGTGAAAAAAATATGGGTTCAGGCCGGACACTTACAACTAGCCTCCTGTTTGCATTTCCTGGGACAGGAGATATGTGGGCTCCAGCTTAGATATTTACAGCCAGCTTCCTGTTTGCTCTCTGAAATGGAAGCAATGGCCGAGACGGGGTAAGTAGCCAGACTTTTTCTCCTGTGGGCACCTTAAGGTAACAGTCATGACAAGCACAGAGAGGGGCTAATCCTTGTTTGAGTAAAGGCTCAAGAGGTCACGTATTTCCCCTCCTTGGGGCAAGGGAGAAATTGCACATGTGCAGAAAGGCTCCTGGGGGGTCAAAAACGAGGGGGAACCATCCCATAATATGTGATCCTAAGGCCACCCCATAGGGCTCTGGGCTGGAATCCATCTTCCATAAAAGCAGCGCACGCATGTTGGGGAGGGTCCTAGGGCAGGTCAGGTGTGGAAAAAGAAACCAGATAATTGGCCAAAGGTAAACAAAGACCTGGAAGAACTTCCCTTTATAAATTATGTAACCACCTCTTTTCTGCTCTCCTCCTCATTAGGGAGGATGCCCACACTCTTTCTCTCTGGGTGTGCATCTCTGCCTTGCTAAACAAATTATTTCTCTGTGTGCTGTCCCACTTGTTGTCGTGCTACGTCTCTCATAATAAACTTTGTACCTGTTTTTATATTTTTATATACCTCCATGAGAAATACATTTTTCACTGGGGACTAGAGCCAGGGAAAAGTAGCTGCTAGCCTCTAGCTCTTGCTTGTCTGGTGGCTAGGATTCCTGGTGTTCACCCAGGCTACCCAGGTTCAATTCCTGGACAGGGAATTAATATCTTGCTTCATGCCACCACTCACTGCTGCCTCTCCAAGATCAATGTGAGACACAAGGATAAGTTAGGGAATTGAGACTTACATGCCACTGAAAGAAGGAGAATGGGGTAGGGGTTTGAGCCTTCAAAGGGGAGAAAGGCAATTCACATAGAGATGGAAAAACAAATGTTTGGTAAACAAATGTTTGCTATGCCATACAGAGACAAGGGGAGACAGAGAGGGCTTTGGTCTCCAGGCCCTGCCAAGTTCCCCCTACCACACCTAGCTCATATTCTTTGCAGGTATCTCTGGTGAGAGTGTTCTTCCTGGACCAGGTCCTTTATCTAAATTCTTTTAGGCAGTTAAGGGGGAGGTAAAAAGAAACACTTTCTGAGTCTTCAATTTCTTAAAAATAATCATCCTAAAATAATCCTCCTGCCAAAGATATAAACTTTGGGGAGGCAAATTTTGATCCACTAGAGAATCCAGCTTAGATCTAAAGTAAGAAAGGTCTTCCTGAAACTTTCCCTCTCCAGATCTAAGTTTTAGGACAGAACATGTCAATGAAAATTAATCAGTCAATCTAAGAAAGAAATGGAAAATTTTATTCAAGCCAAATTTGAGGATTATAATCAAGGAAGAGCATCTCAGAAAGCTCTGAGGACCGTTCCACTCATTAGAAGTCAAGGCACAGTTATATAAGTTTTTTGAGACAGAGGGCTGAACATCAAATGACATCTTATTATTGACAGTTTACATAATCCATATCTAAGTGTCATTGTGGTAGGTCACATGACCCCTTACAAGATCAGGAAGGAATATTATCTTTTAAGGAGTTGTCTTGTTGATGCTAGGAGAATGGTGCTCTTTATGGTTGAGCAGATATTCCTGCTGATGGGGGAGGTTTGGTCAATGCATGATGCAGATACGCCATGCAGAGTGGGGGAAGGGAGAAGGCCAACAGAAAGAGAAGAACTTTTTATATTTAAATTTTTCTTGCCTTGTCATAAAATATGAATTTTATTTCACAAGCAGCAACAAGAATCTCCACACATGGTGGAGAGCAAAGGATCCCAGAGCCCCAGAGGTGATCATGTGCATATGAAATTTGACCCCTGAGCTGTGGACCCATGGATGTTAGACTTGGGAAATGGTGCCAGCATGATGAGTCTTTCTTCATTCCAAGCGGAGGAGCCAGTCAGTGGGATGTAAAATTTTCCCTAGGTTATGACCCTCTCCAAAAGAACCGAAGACCTCATCTTGCCTATTATGATGCTATTATCAAAGTTGTCCTCTTCAGCACTCCAGGTCATTCCACTGAGAGAGAAATGAAGACACAAATATCTTAAAAAGTGCACCTATGTGAGTCTGGGACAGTTGGCAGAAATTGGTAGAGGTGAGGGTCATTTAAAATGGGAGTTGCAGGATGTCAGGGCGGGAATACATGACTAGAAACTACTAATATAAGCATCAGTCCACCAGCTAGCTAGTTTAAATTATTAGGGAATCTAATTGTGTCCAGGTAAGCAGGAAGGGGACTCAGAGAACTCACTTCTCACACTATATTAGAACAAATAGGAGGACTGAAAATTACTAAAATATAAAAGAAAATTATTTAAAGCATGTAAAAGATTTACTTCATAAAAGATTAATCACAGGAAATTTAGAAAATTTTAGGCAGCAACTGCATTAAACTCTCAAGCAAATTGAAGAAAAACAGAGACTTGATGAAAGATGAAAGTTGAAGAAGAAAAACACACTAAATCCAAGAAAGAATTTAAGACAACTCAAAGCATTGTAGAATTTTAAATGACATTAGAAATAGTAAGGATCCCAATATGTTAAAGAGAAAACCAAATCACTTGTAGGGGAGCAAAATCTGCCACCCCAAAATGTTTCTTTGGCATGTGGATTATTTCAGGCTGAAAACAATCAAGGCCCAAAAGACTCAGGAAGAAACTTTGACCTTCCCGCTAACTGCCTAAAAGTATTTAGATACAAGGACTGTTTCCAAAATATAGCTATCACCGGAGATACTTGCAAAGAATATGGGCTAGGGGATGTAGGGGAAACTCTGCAGGTCCTAGAGGTCAGAGTCCACTCTGTGTCCCATTGTCTCTGGTGGTCCAGCAAACATTTATTTATCAAACGTTTGCTTTTCCATCTCTGTGTGAATTGTCTTCCTCCCTTCTGAAGTCCCAAACCACTACCCCCAGCATTCTCTTTTGTCTTTAGCTGAAGATGATAAAGTGAGGATTTTGGTCATTTTGGCAAGTTACTCAATTTTTCTGAGTTCCTCCCATGTATACATGTTATTAAATTTTGTTTGATTTTCTCCTGTTAATCTGTCTCATGCTAATTTAATTCTTAGATCAGCCAAAAGAACTTAGAAGGGTAGAGGAAAAATTCTTCCTCCCTAACACTAATATGAAGGTTAGGTTTGAAAAAATAAAAGCTCAAAATATAAGGATAAAGGACACCGATAAAAGTGATCTGGATGATGGTAAATGAGAAGAAAAATAATGGAAATTTCACACAATGAAAACTGGTGATCCTGAAGAAAAAAATAGAACAAATTAAACAGAAACAACAACAAAACATTTCTTTTTTCAATTTTTGAATATTCAAATTGAAAGGATTAAAGAATTAAAGATAATTCTAATATGTAATGACCTCATCCTGATGGTGGGGGAAGAATGCTGGAAAAATTCTATTCCTGTATTCTTTTTCTTCTTCTTAATTAATTAATTATTTATTTATTTTTGGTTGCATTGGGTAGGTTGCTGTGCGTGGGCTTTCTCTAGTTGCAACGAGCGGGGCTACTCTTCTTTGAGGTGAGTGGGCTTCTCATTGCGGTGGCTTCTCTTGTTGTGGCGCACGGGCTCTAGGCGCGCAAACTTCAGTAGTCGTGGCACGTGGGCTCAGTAGTTGTGGCTCACAGGCTCTAGAACACAGGCTCAGTAGTTGTGGCGCATGGGCTTAGTTGCTCCACGGCATGTGAGATCTTCCTGGACCCGGGCTTGAACCCATGTCCCCTGCATTGGCAGGCGCATTCTTAACCACTGTGCCACCAGGGAAGCCCTATTCCTGTATTCTTTAGATAATTCAATAAAACACAATAAATGGGGTGGGTGTTCCTATAAAGGGAAATGAAAATATTGGCAGGACTACAGTTAGACACATGCAGCCTTTTAGGTGAAAAAAAGTCGGCTCAGTTTTTCTTAAACACTCATTAAAATGCAATGGCTCTCAACCTCAGCTGAACACTGGAATTACTTGGAGAGCTTTAAAAAACATTGATGCTTGGGTCCCACGCCCCCAAAATCAGATTTAATTGGCTTGGGGTGTGACCTGGTACTTCTAATGTGGAGAAATGTATAAGACCCTCTGCTTGGCACTGTCCCATGGAAAAAGAGTGGTGAAAGGAGAGAGAAATACACTCCTCCCAGGGCACAAGAGCCCAGTGTGTAGGGCAGTAAAACATCAGAGCCAGAGACAAGGGAAATGTAAGGTGTAATCCCCAAAAGGCAACTTCAGGATTCACAAAAGGGCCTCAGGGCCATAGCTGTCGTTTGACGAACACCTCACCATGTGTTTTATTTTTTTTTTAATATATTTATTTTTTTTAATAAATTTATTTATTTATTTGTTGGTTTGCTTTTGGCTGCATTGGGTGTTTGTTGCTGTGCGTGGGCTTTCTCTAGTGGCAAGCGAGGGCTACTCTTCGTTGTGGTGCGTGGGCTTCTCATTGTGGTGGCTTCTCTTGTTGAGGAGCACGGGCTCTAGGCACGTGGGCTTCAGTAGTTGTGGCACACAGGCTCAGCAGTTGTGGCACGTGGGCTCAGTAGTTGTGGCTCACGGGCTGAGTTGCTCCGCAGCATGTGGGATCTTCCCGGACCAGGGCTCGAACCCATGTCCCCTGCACTGGCAGGTGGATACTTAACCACTGTGCCACCAGGGAAGTCCCTCACCATGTGTTTTATCCTTCAGCACCCGCCAGTCCAGGACATTAGGACTGAAGGTCCCACCAGCATAGACAGTGCTAATCTCTTCTGGTGATAACACATAGTCCCACATGTTCACATCTCCAGTGTCTCCCACCAAAGACTGTTTTTTTATCAAAGCCCCCAGCAAATGTGTCCTGCTCCTGCCCCAGGACGAAGCTTGCCTCTGTCTCCAAAGAGTATCCCCTCTTCATACTCCTCCTCACCATGGGCTTCCCATCCACCCAGAGCTCTGTAATCCCTGAGGTAGACTCCCAGGTCACACAGAAGTGCATTGGTGCAGGATAACTCTCAGGAGGCTTGAAAAAGACATCAGCTCCACCCACGGATACTCTGTATGCAGCAGTCTTTCCCTTGAAGAGGAGGATCTCATTATGTTGTTGCTTTGTGGCATAAGAGAAGAGGCTATCGTTGTGGGTCAGATCGGTATAGACATGCAGGCACACGGTCAAGGCCTTAAGTGGCTTCGTTCGCTGTGCAGTCAGCGTCACAACGGAATTATTCGACTCTTTGGGGAACACAAAGACCTTTGTGTGCATATCTGTAGCGTAAAAAAACAGAGGGGAAATGTCAGCAGCAGAGTTTTTTTAAAAAACAAAACTCAACTGAGTAAATTTAAAGATCTAATTGTCGTTATTCAATGACTCATGAAGTGGGCAGCATCCCGTCTAGCAGATAGAAAGGAACTTTGAAGAGCTGTACAAAATGAAAGCCTTTTATAGACAGAAGAGGGTGGGAAGAGGAAGTTCCTAGAAAAGAGTGGATTATTTCAGGCAAGGTCACCTTCCTATAGCGAAAGAAAGGGGTCTTATTGGGTGGATTACCTCATTAGAGAGGCCAGGTAATTTCACCCTGACAGCTTAAAAGGCACATTCCTGGGAGAGGTGAAACTGCAATTAGGTTAGGTATTGCATCTGGGCTCGCTAACATGGGGCTTGACACAAGTGACTCCATTTCAGGTCAGTTGTCTCTTTTTGTAAACGATTCCCCCCTTTTCATCAACCTGAGATATCTCCAGCTGGTGTGCAGGACCAGAAGCCAAATGAGTCTTCTTTGACTGTGAGATGTGTACCTAAGGTTCAAGTCCCTGGCTTTTGGCTGCTATTCGGGTAGTGAGGAGGACCATGAGTCCCTTCCAAAGAGATTCAAGGGCAGTCTTTGTTCTTGGTGATTCCAAATCAGGATGGGAGAAAATTGAAACATTCATTTGCAGATTCATAGCCAAATTCTTAAGGAAAATAGAAGAATTCAGCACCCAGTCCAATTTGCAGATATATGACAAAACCTCAAGGACAATCAACAGGATGAGAATTTAATATCTACAAAGGTGCACACACAACTTTTCTCTCTAAAATCACCCCATTTTTAAAAATCAAAGATAACCACAGTGAAACTAATTTATTTGCATTAAACTTGGCCTGATTATTTACATAAATGCAGCAAGAATAGTGATTGACCATATAAGCTCTTTGGAAGACTGCTCCATTGGAACCTTGTAAGTAAAGTACCAAGCTAATTTTTCCAAGGGGCTTTACTGACTCCAGAAAGTCAACCTTAGTTCCTTAAAAGTGTCTGGTCATATCCGAGTCTATGCACATCTCCCTCAAATATGACATTTCTGTCAAAGCCTCCGTAGTATAACCAGTGTTTCCAATTGCATACTGTTACAAGGAGAACAGATTCTTATTGAATTTATGTAAATGACTAACTATGATGCCATGAAAAGAATATTTAAGAATTTTCAAATTTGGGAGAAATCAGGTAGAGAGAAAAAGTAAATGTTTCATCTTTGTTTACAAAGGTATACTTTGCCAAATTGCTTTAAGTCATAGATAGCTTAAGAAAAAAAGGTTTCCTGAAATCTGGAGAAAAAAATATTAAGAAAACTGCAATATTTCAAACAAAACAATTATAATCATCTTCCTTAATTCCTTCAGTCCCGTGTAATTAATACTTGTTTGCTTGAATCCAGTTTTTCCATTAGCTCTGTAAATTTTTACTCAATTTAGTTTTATGATGTTAAAGCTACAAGAAACCTGCACTTGTCAAAGTCCTTTCCAATAATCTTTTTGAAGATGAAGCACATTTGCAGAAACACTTTTGCAAAAGCATCTGAGTAAAAAAATAACTGTCTGGGGACTTCCCTGGTGGCGCAGTGGTTGAGAGTCAGCCTGCCGATGCAGGGGACACGGGTTCGTGCCCCGGTCCGGGAGGATCCCACATGCCACGGAGCGGCTGGGCCCGTGGGCCATGGCCGCTAGGCCTGCGCATCCGGAGCCTGTGCTCCGCAACAGGAGAGGCCACAACAGTGAGAGACCCGCGTACCGCAAAAAAAAAAAAAAAAAAAAAAAAAAAAAGATCTGTTGAGAGCTCATTATAATGGAACTGACAAGGAAATTTGGTTATTTCTGTGACATACAATGTTTTAAGATAAGACTGGAATTATGACTGATAATCATTACACCAGGATATATCAGATTTCTAGGAATTCTCAAAATTTTATAGCATATGCAAATACAACATAAAGAAGGCTTAGTATTACTTCTTCTTTGACAATGCTTCCAATATAATTTAATATATCAAATAAGCCTAATTTGTTTAACATCTCCTTTTTATAAGGAGAGAGAACAAGTGTTTTGAGATTTTCCAGGGGTCCTCTGGAATATCTCAAAGTTACTTTGAGGTCAAAATGACTTCATTTAGAATTTGATTTGCAGGAAGTTTGTCAAAAATATTAAAAGATTGTAAAGCCCTTGGTCAAATAGGATCATAGGTCATTGCAAAACAATACTTAGTTATACATTTAACCATAATGACAATTAAAGACTTCAAAGGCAAATACAGAAGGTTAAATAGTTGTAAAGGAAAATGTAGCTCTTTTAATAGAGAAGACTCAGCTTTCTTAACTAATCAAAAGACACGATAAGGACAGCACAGGACGGCTTCCCTGGTGGTGCAGTGGTTGAGAGTCCGCCTGCCGATGTAGGGGACATGGGTTCGTGCCCCGGACCGGAAAGATCCCACATGCCGCGGAGCGGTTAGGCAGCTGAGCCTGCGCGTCTGGAACCTGTGCTCTGCCAAAAAAAGATAGCACAGGAAGTTATTTTGACAAGACACAAAATCTTTGCTTTCTAGGCAAATTACTTGAGGTAAGAAAAAATAACTTTTACAAAACTTTTACAATCTCTTATCAAGAGCACACCAATAGTTCAATAAAACTTTATTGTTTTCACAGAGAGAAAAGCAGATTCTAATTTTATACCTGCTTCCTTTTAATATTAAAATTTATTCACTCAATTAAATTCATTTCCATTTTAGCCAGTCTTGACCATGCATAAAACCCCTTACCAAAGATTCCTTTTCCACAAACCTTCTACAACTTTCTTCTTTACATTCATATTTTGTCCTGTGTTTTTTCCCTCTCCCATTCTGAAATAAGGAGTCTCTCTTTAGGACAAAATTACTTTATTTTCATTCAACAAAATGCTTTTTCATTCCTCATACCTTCTTTTACTGAAAACACACATCTTATTTTCTTTACCTATGGAGATATTCATCTCATTATTTCTGTTTTTAACCCTTAGAAAATTTAAGATTTAGTGAAATAAAGAAGTAAATAGTTGTGAACTCTCTTTTACTTCAGCATTTTGTGGCTTGGCAAATGTATAAATACTTTTTATTGTTTTTAGAAATATCTGCTTTTTCATAGTAAATTTCTCAGTGTGGCACAAAACATGTTTAATAGAACCAAACATATTTAGCTCCTCTGTAAAAGGAAGCCAAAAGTGGATAAACCTATGTTCAGTAATTAATGTTTCAGTATTTTATCTTATTTGGAAATGATCTAAATATTTAATGACTATCCATAATTTAGTTTAACCTAGCAAAACTTTAAGGTGTTAGTTTACCAAAAAGATTTGGGGAAATGATTTTATTTTTCTTAAAAAATTTTTTTTTGGGTATTTTAAAATTTTTTTATTTTTAAAAAATTTTTTGTGGGAAAACTATTTTAAAAGTTCACCTAAAAACTTTTTTCCCACTTACATCTATTTAATTCACTTGTTCTCAACAGTTTGTTTACTCATGAAAATTTCATCATACCAAGTTATTTCTCTTGCTGACAAATTTTGAAACAGAGATGACATGAACTTATTTGAATAGTAAACCCAGGTAGAATAAAAGTTGTATGTTTGCATTATTTTTAATGTTGGTAACTCTAAAGATATAACTCTGTAGACATTTTAATTAAACCAACAAGCTCAAATTATCATTAATATTCAATATTTTCCCAGATTGTGTGAACTTGAAAAGCATTTGGGTCAGTTTCTATTATATTACTGAAAATTTTAGAAACACTTTATTTAAGTGCCTAATTTTCTTTAAGCCAATTAAATAGTGCTCTTTTACAGATTAATTTTTGGCAATATTATCCATAGGTAGAAAAATACCATATATCTACAACACAAATATGTAGAGAGACACACGTAAGTGACAGAGGCAAACAGAGACTTTATAGCTTTCATTTTGATATTACTGCCACTATTCAGGTACAACAATACACAGCCCACTAGTTATAAAAAAGCTGGATTTAAGTTGTTATGGTAGATAGAATAAGTTAAGGTTACCTGCTCAGATGGCTAAAACTTTTTAATAATAGTTGTTATTATTATTATTATTATTATATATAATATAATGTTATTTGAGAAGACACTTAAAAGATTATTATATATTATAATATATTATATATTATATAATATATTATATTATAATATATAATATAATGTTATTTGAGAAGACACTTAAAAGATTTTTCATTCACCTAAGTTTTAAATGACCTCTTCCTCTTTTGTTTTCCCCCTAATAAGAATTACCTCCCTGGAGTTTGTAGTTTAAAGAGATTGGCCTAGAAAATAATTCCTGGAGAAGACCAGGTAGGACATTTACACCTCAAAGGTACAGGGAAGGGATGCAAGTTCCTCTGAGAAGAACTTTGCTTCTTAAAGCCAGAATTTTTACAATATTTATTTGAGATAAATATGGGAAGTTTCAGGATTGGTAAAAAGAACAGGTGGGCTTTGAACTGTTTCTAGAGAAGATAAGGGCAATTGCTCTTAATTCCTCAAAGAATTGGGTTGCAGCCTAAAAAATACCAAGGGGTTAATCCTCCCATCTAGCCATATTATCTTCAGTTTGCTCTCCTTCCCTCCCAGGTACATAGTTTTATTTCTGGCAGTATTGAACACCTCTTGGATGTGTCCAAGAGGTGTCCCCCGAAGAGGTTGCAAAAGATATTTTATTCCCCTCTCCACAGAGATCCAGGAGAGCTGGCTCTGATAAGAATTTTTACCTTTTGCTGGTTTCTGCCAGTTTTCCCAAGATCCCCTCTGCAAGCTCCAGTATCTATCAGAATTTGGCAAAGTTTTTAATTAATTTTAATTTAATTTCCCTTTGGATGTTTAAGGGAATAACATAGCAGTTTACCAGAAAAATCCCTCAGAGTCTCATCAACTCTGGGAGGCGCCCATATGGGGCCCTCCACTGAAGGTAGACATGGAGTCTGTAAGGCCACTTTGGTTTACAGTAATGTAAAGACAATTCAGACAGAGGATCAGTAGACTCTGAGACTCAATTAAAGGAGCTAAAGAGGAATAGTAGGAATCACATCAATCTTAGACTTTTGTATTAGGTACTTCTTGTATCTTTTTCATTAGCCTTTTGCAATGCATTTTTCAATGAAGCTAGTTTGGAATTTTGAAGCCTTTTGGAGACTTCTGCATGCTGATTAAAACTGGTATCTAATTCTATTTGTTTGATTGGGGAACCCTTACTTTCAGGTGCACTTCTTAAATAATCATAACTAATTGGAACATTCCCCATAATGGCCACTGTAATTCTAGATTGTTTTTAGTAAGGTTTAGCCATTTTTGTAGGTATTTATATCTTTTAGCAGTATAGTTCATAGACATAAAGTAAGCAGGTGTGCTGGGAGGCAGCGTGCTCAACTCTTTTGAATTCAAGGATTCGCTTTTTTTTTTTTTTTTTTTTTAGTTAAGACTTTGGGTCTCTCAGAGGCAAACTAATATCTAAGAGGGATGTGCCACTGGGTTGGGGATTGTGTGGTGTTTTACAGTGTACCTTCTAGCATGGAAATTTTCTTGAGGTTGGCAGGTAATCTAGTGTCAATATAAACTGTCCCATGACCAACTTATCCTAACACGGGAGTTTAGTTATGTGGTGAGCACTCTAACAGCTTTTAAGTGCCTTAGCCATGCTCACCAATTTTGTGGGTTTTTTTTTTTTTTTTACTTCTATGAATCCCATTAGCAATAACCTTTATTTACTAGACCCAGTCTAGCTTAAGTTGGACCCAGTATGATCTGAAACCCAGTCCAGTTTTTCAGCTGGTAACAGCCAGCAGTTCCCAATATGGAATTTGGGGGTTGGGGAAAGGACTGAATCAGCAGACCCCCAAGAATAGGGACTGCAGACTGGGGTTCCACACAACGGAGAACTCCAGACTGAGCCATAGGTCATTCCCAACATGGAATCTGGGGACAGAAACAAGGGCTGAGGTTTCCAATCAAATAGGGGACTGACTGGCAAGCCAATTAGATCAGGAGCTTGATGCAAAGAGAGCAGAGCTCAGAACATAGAGCAACTTACCCAGGGCCCCTCTGAAAAGGACAGAACTCCAAAAGGTCTGAGGGTACAATGCCCGTGTTTCTTGTTTTAGAAGATCTTGGAAGGGCTCTGTGGATTCCATCGCTGACACCAAATCTGCTAAATTAAGTCAGATTCAACTGAGTACATTTAAAGATCTAATTGGCTTTAATTCAATGATTCATGAAGCAGGCAGCCAGCCATCTAGCAGACAGAAAGGAATTTCAAAGAGCTGTACCAAATGAAAGGGGTAGGAAAAGGAAGTTTCTAATGAAGAGTAGATTATTTCAGGCAAGGTCACCTTTCTATGGGGGAAGGAAAGAGTCTTATCAGGTGGGTTACCTCTAGTCTTAACCAAGTAATTTCATATTGACCGGTGAAAGGTCACATTTTGGGGAGAGGCTGAAGCTGCAATTAGGTTAGGTATTAGGTCTTGGTTTGCTGACATGGGGCTTAACACGAGTGACTCCGTTTGGGGCCTGTTGTCTCTTTTCTAACCTTGTTAGGTCACAAACATGTGTTCTCTCACTATGTATAGAGAGATTGGAGTTAGAAACCACAGACTGCCCTCTTTCCCAGAACACAACCCCTCCCCCACTCTGACTATTTTCCCTAACTTGGCTTTGCATAGGTAGCCCTGATACAAGAGCCCAGCGCCCACCTGAAGCAGTGCCTACCTGTCTGGGAAAAAGCACTAGGGAGGCTAATGATGACCAGGAAACACAGTGACAGCTTCTCCATGTTCCCTCCCTGCAGACACTGTGCCCAGAATCTAGGATATTCTCCTGGAAAGAGTAGCAGTGGCTGGGCTATCCGGGGCTTGGACGCCTGAAATCCCTCTGACTCAGGTCTTTTCCACTTTCACCTTATAAGTGCAATAGTCAGATTGTCTCAGCTGATGGTTAAATGATTTTCCAAAATCGCTCCTTGGAGCTGTAAATCAAAGCTCTAAGAGCAAACAAACCAAGACAAAACAAGAGATCAATATGGGTCATTTATTAAAGACTCCATGGTGCCTACTGGTGCTCCAACAGCTCTGTGTGGCAGTGCTTTGTGAATTGAAACAGTCACACCCTGTGAATCCATTCTGGAGAAATGCTGTTAAAAGTTTGGGGGTGGGGGAGACATTTTACTCACAAAGACAACCATAACACCACTTAGGATAGTGAAAAATTAGAAAACTGGGGCATGTTTAAGGAAACTGGATACATCTACCTCCACTAAATAGAATGGATAGTCCTTTAAACTATTGGTTGGTTGTGAATTTTATGCTACAACATGTAAAAATGCTTATAATAGTATAATATGGGAAAAAATAGCGTAAATTTGTTTATACACTATTTTTTAAATGAAGTAACTAGTTTAGAAAAAAATCTATTAGGGATACCCCCCAAAAAGTAAGTGTCCTTATCACGGTAATGAAATTATTGTATGAAGGATATGTTTCTCTCATTAACAACATTTCCATAATGTAGTTATATTGCTTATAAAATAAAGTGTGTGTGTGTGTGTGTGTGTGTGTGTGTGTGTGTGTAATTAAGAAGTAAGGAAAGAGAGAATAGAATAAAGATAAGTAGCCCTTGAAGCTCCAAAAGCTACTGTTTCGTTTTATGAATAGGACACCCAGTCTGTGGCTATTTGGCTTTAATCCCAAAACATTATAATTTCATGTAAAAAGAATCTTGAGCTTATTCATCATGAGTTTTCCCATTGCCATTCAATGAGAAATTGATAATAGACATTATTTATTATTTGACTGGAAGAACTAACTGACATGCAGATAGCATATTCTAAACACACAAGAGAAAAGAACTATTGCAAATTATAGTATTGATACATTTCTGGAAAGGTTTGTTTTGTTAACTATATAATGGTATATAGTTAAATTTTCTTTTAAATTACCTTTCCCAAACTCTTTGCATCTTATTTTTTAAAAGACTGACTTAAAGTACTTGCTGCAAAAATTTTTCTCTTCTTACTGTAACCATTTGCCCAATTAAAGATATATGCATAATTTGAACAGAACAAAATATATATAATAGGTAAAAGATTGGGACAAAGAAGGAAGGTGTTTTCCCAGTACCCAAACTGCCTTCTCATTAACCTTGGGCTCCCCAGGTAAGTCAAAAGAAGGCACCTACGAGTATGATGAGTGGACTCTTTGGAAATGTTATTGATTTCAAGGAGCCCATCACATTATCAGATCTATGTCCATAATGGATATTCTGAACACAGCTTAAAATTGAAAAAGGGAGAGAGGCAGAGAGACATAGAGATAGGGAGAGTGAGAGCTAAAGCAATAGAAAGAGAAGACAGAGAAAAAGGAAAAGAGAATTTGAAAGACCTTCCGGGTGAACCGTTTCACAAGCCACCCCTGGTTCCAGTAATCTGCCAAGACAGCACTGTAGCCACTCATGCCATATGACAGAGTCTTGGGTGAACCTTACCAGAAGAGAGGTGTAATAGATCAGTTTGCCATGTGACGTTTTTCCTGCTCACATATGTTTGTTTGGGAGGCTTCTCCTCTCTTCCTTTTACAGTTCATGATGTCCCTGTAAAAATACTTAAATATTTCAGTGTTTCTAGACATCTTGGCACTTTGGTTTCTCCCTGATTTAAAGTCCCAGTAGATCAGAAAAACATTTCAATTGTAGAGACACCAAGTACTGACTGGGGATAAAGAAAAACATTGCAAGACAATGTTTGTTATCTTGTTATCACAGTGCAGTTTTAATGAATAAATAAGAGCATGGTACATACAGAGCTATCATTTTCTTTAATCCTCAAGTACCTACAACTCTAGACTCCAGTGCCTAAAGAGCAAGTTTGGTGTGCTCTCAGAGTTCAATCTGGAAGCACTATAACATGGGGGAAAAGAGGAAGCAACGGACAAGTCGGTCAGAAACAACACATCCAGTCAGAGACAACAGTAGTCTTTTCAAAGCTGTTACTCAGCCTAGAACAGTGGTTCTCCAGCCCCCACTGTTGGAGACTCGGCTGCACATTGTAATCAACTAAGGAGCTTTAAAAATACTGATGCCCGTATACCCAGACAAAACAATAATTCAAAAAGATACGTGCACCCCTATATTCATAGCAGCACTATTCACAGAAGCCAAAACATGGAAACAACCTAAATGTCCATAAACAGATGAATGGATGAAGAAGATGTGGTACGTATATACAATGGAATATTACTCAGCCATAAAAAAGAATGAAATAATGCCATTTGCAGCAACATGGATGCAACTAGAGATTATCATACTAAGCGAAGTAAGTCAGAAAAAGAAAGACAAATACCATATATCACTTATATGTGGAATCTAAAATATGCCACAAATGAACCTATCTACAAAACAGAAACAGACTCAGACACAGAGAACACACTTGTGGTTGCCAAAGGAGAGGGAAGGACTGGAGGTTTGGGATTACCAGATGTAAACTATTATATATAGGATGAATAAAGAACAAGGTCCTTCTGTATAGCACAGGGAACTATATTCAATATTCTGTGATAAACCATAATGGAAAATTATAATTAAAAAAAAGAATGTCTCTATGTGTGTAACTGAGTCACTTTGCTGTACAGGAGAGATTTGCATAACATTGTAAATCAACTACACTGCAATTAAAAAAAATTAAATTAAAAAAAAAATACTGATGCCTGGATCTCACCAGCAGAGAATCTGCTGTAATAATCTGGCGTGTGACCTGGAAAACTGGATTTTTAAAAGCTCCCCAAGTGATTATAATATTAGCATCTAAATTTGAGAATCATTGTCCTAAAGAATTTCTCATATGATTCCGTACCCTTGATGAATGCTTCCTAGAATATGAAATGATGTCTAAGGGCACACCTAACAGTGGAAAAGGTAGGGGCTTCCAAGTCAAAGATCTTCGATAGTGTGTCAAGGGCATAGGTTGCCTAATGTTATGCTGATGCCAAAGCTGAATAGGATTTTTATGTGCAATCCATTCTCCCAAACATAAAATAACAAAATGAAAAGTTGGGAGATTGCCAGTGCCCCAGAAAAGGTAGTTTACATGCTGGATATATGGCATCCTGGAATGGCTTCTCCATGAGAAAACATGCATGCATCTCCATACCCTCCCTACTCCACTAGGGGTGTAAGTACAGCCTATGAACTTTTACTGTATGCGGCAGTAGAAAACAGTGGTTAGAAGCATGGGGCTCTGTAGTCAGACTGCCTAGGTTCAATCCCAACTCTGGGCAAGTTAATTAACCCCTCTGGACCTCAGTTTCCTCATCTGTAAAATGAGGACTATAAAATAGTACTTGCCTCATAGGTTGTCATTAAACAAATAAATATACCTAAAGGACTTTAGAGCAGTGCATGGACTATGGTAAGGGCTCAGTATGTGTAAGGTGTTTTTAAGACTGTCTGTGATCTGCCCTGTGTGCTTAAGCAATTACCATCCTGGGAGTAGTGGTGGGAACTTACAAGATTACTTATCTGTGTGTATTAAAGGACATGGGGTAGAGGGATGAAACTGAATGAGTCTTCAGATAATGTACCAGAGGCAGGGCAAGGGGATAGATAACCTGACTCAAGATGTGCTAGATCTTTCTTTAAAGATCACCTGCCTTCAAGCTTATTGGGAGCCAGGCATGTCTTCCAGATAAGACATCTGAGCTGCCAGGAAGACACTAAAGTGATGGTTCTAAAAACATATTGGGCAAAAGAGCTTGTGAATTGCAGATTCCTGGGCTCTATATCCAGAGACTCTAAGCTGGTAGGTCTGAGGTCAATGAATCTACAATAAACACCTTAGGTGATGATGATGCTTGTATTAAGCAGCCCACAATTTAAGAATCACTGGACCAGACAATCTAGGAAATTTGAGCTAAGAATCTGCATTTTCTGAAGAAGAAGGCTAGCAAGGCCACTTAATCCACTTTCTGTTACAGGAGAAATGAAAAGATGCATAGATAAGATGGAGGCGGAGAACAGCAAGGAAGGCATACAGGCAAGTTTTGCCAATCCACCTGAAACTAGAGGTTGGTTATCTTAGGATAAAGTTATTTAGAAACCAACACAGCACTTCTCTTCTTTCCCTGGGAGTCTAAGGATCAGAAATCTATGCTTTTGAAACCTGATTTGTGTTTTCTTTTTGGCCACATGGCTCGCAGGATCTTAGTTCCCCAACTAGGAATTGAACCCAGGTCAACCACTAGGAAATTCCCTGGGTATTTATATCGTTGGTGGTGTTGTTTTAACGATCTGGAGTTGTTTGCTTTTTTTTTTTTTTTTTGGTCAATCCTTGCTTCCGTGGAGATCAAACTTAGCGATAGTGAAAAACAACATAGGGAAAAAAAAATCACAGACTTACCATCCTACCTAATTTGTCAACTGGTACTCCAAACCATTTCCATCAGGCTCAGTCCCATTTCTGAGGAGGCTTGTCGTCTTTCCTCCAGGCCCTGGATGGACCACAGGGAAGGGTCCTCAACCACTCATCTGGCTGGAGACATGCAAGGCTTATCATTATACCCAATGATCCAATATTTCTCCCCAACACAGGGAGATTTTAGGTGCCTGATCTGCACATCACCATGTTGCATCCTCTGCTAAGGTGCTCACACTTGGGTCACTTCAGGTCTGGACCTGAAGGCCTGGCTCATATTCTTATACCAGCATGGCTACTTTCAGTCTTCAAAGGAAAGTGTCCTATCCGGTAGCAGCCTCCAGCATCTGCTTATGGTTTTACATTTATAATCTCTGACATGTGCAATTGGTCTACCCCAATGTCTGGCTGTAAATGTACTAAAGTATCTCTTCATGCTACTTCCCTTGTCACACCTAAGCTTCATTTCATTGATAGAAGTGTATAAATCCATTCTCCTACCCCCTTTGAAGGAAAGAAATGTTTATTGTCTACTGTGCATGTGGCCTCCGTATAGTTTATTTTTCTCAAGGCAGCCCTATACAGTAGTTTTTATTGTAGGTTTTATATATCATTTGGTCCTCTTTTTTTTTATGTCAAGTTGAATTTAGGCTTTATAGCTTTATTTTTTTTTTATTCATTTTTTGGCTACGTTGGGTCTTTGTTGCTGTGTGCAGCCTTTCTCTAGTGGCAGCGAGTGGGGGCTACTCTTCATTGCAGTGCACAGGCTCTAGGTGCACAGGCTTCAGTAGTTGTGGCTGACGGGCTCTAGAGTGCAGGCTCAGTAGTTGTGGTGCACAGGCTCTGTGGCATGTGGGATCTTCCCGGACCAGAGCTCGAACCCATATCCCCTGCACTGGCAGGTGGATTCTTAACCACTGCACCACCAGGGAGGTCCCTCTGTCTTTTTAACTTGAGCTTTAATACCTGATTTTACTTCTGGACAAACTGGATGCATGATCCCTGCTATAAAGGAAAACCAGTGCTAATGACATGGCTTCATTGACATCAGCTAGAAGTGGCCTTCCTGGATAATTGATCTTACTCTCCATTTACTGTGACAAAGAATTGCTTAGAACTAACTCACCTAAACCAAAATCATCCTCTTCAGTAGATGTCATCTACTATTTAATTGGATTATGTCAAACTACTCTGTATAGTACAACAATACACCAGTTACCTTGAGATTTATTCTCTAACAAGATTACAATGAAGTATTCACCAGTAAGCCAAATTGCTTAAACATTCTAGGAATGCTTTATTGAGATTTCTTAATGTTCACCAAATGCAAATACAAGGTTTAAAATTTTTTCTGGCTAAAATTATCAGGGCCAGAGGTTGTCCACTAAACTATGTGTAGTAAGGTACCAGTAATTGAATTCTGAGAAAAATATTAGCTCAGCCCACATCCCTGGGGAGTTGGGATGGTCTTCTATAATTAAGACATATCTCCTGACTGGGTTCTTTAACTAGAAAAAAAGTGTCAACCCTTCCTTCTGCTTAGCTGAATGTCAGGGTGTATGGGTCTGCCCTAATTAGACAACAGAGAACATCTGCACTCACATATTTGCCCAAGAATGTATCCTTAACTTCTATGCTTCCAAATGGTTATGAAAAGTCACTTGGGGAATCAATATTCCTAATACAATATTCATAAATTTATCCTCCTAATATTCTGAACTTAATTTTTGGCAAATCAGACTCTTCACTTGCTGTCAACCCAGACCACTTCCACCAAATTGTATTTCGGTGGTATATAATGAACCTATGTTTAGGAATATCATACAAAACAGCCTAATAATAATAATAGCAGATAACTGTTTTGAGAGCTTACTATGTGCCGGCACTACCTTAAGGGCTCTATATGCATGATCTTATTTGATCCTTTCAACAACTCTTTGAACTAATTACTATTATTTCTCCCCACTTTATAGATGAGATAACTGAGACATACAGAGGGTTATGTTACCTAAAGCCCCATAGCCAGTAGGTTGTAAAGTCAGGATTTAAACCTAGGCAAGCTGATTCCAGAACCTCTATGCTTAACTAGTCTACTATATGCCTTCCCTAAAGTAACTGCTTGATGTATAATCACAGGGAACCCCATCCTTCATACATGGATGTGACCTCTGTGGAATAACTTCAACAGCTCACTTAGTACTGAAAGGCCAAGATGAAGGACACCTCTGGAAGGAACCAGCAGCCATCATCCTTGAGGGGTCCTTTTCTACCAGGGACTCAAGCAGCCAGGAAAAGTGCATTCCAGCCATTAAACCTAAAAGCAGATTCTTGGATCTCAATGATCTTTAGTTTCTGTTCCTCAAATTGGAGTAATGATAGAGTGAGAATTCTTTTTAATTGAAATATAGTTGCAGTACAATATTATATGTTACAGGTGTATGATGTGGTGACTCACAATGTTTAAAGGTTATACTCCATTTATAGTTATTATAAAATATTGGCTACATTCCCCATGTTGTACAGTATATCTTTGTAGCTTATTTTGTATATAATAGTTTGTACCTCTTACTCTATCAAGTGAGAGTTTTAAACCCCCATAACTGACCTCACATGAATTACCAGCTATCAAAAGAGGGGCTGTGCTCGTCAGAGAGAATCCCTATAGGAGGTTAGAGGGCCATAGGTACGCTA